CCACATTTACAACAAATTGGACAATTGAGGGGTGACATTTACAATATCATAAATACAGGTCTGAGATTTTAATTTCGTGGATAACTGAGGGACCATGCATGCGATTTTCCCTTTATTTTATTCACTTAAACTTTATATCACTCACTTATTGTACTCACATTTTAGAATATTATTTAATTCAAAATTAATCTAATCATGAAAATGAATAAGCAAGTAGTGAATTCTAATTAGTGGTGTCAATTAATTTTTCCTAATATACTCTTCATTGAATATATATTGTATGGGCTTATATTTTATGGTATTAGCTTATTGAACTACTATTATTTTTCGAAATGTAGAATCCTAAAAAGTTGTTATTATTTTAATATTTAATTAAAGTATAAGCAAAAGTATATATGCCCCAATTGCTCTTTCCCGTGCAAGGGTACTATACTAGTTAATTGAGAACTTCCACTTAAATCTCTGTTAGCATTTTGTATTGAAGTTTCCAATAGGATGCTAGCTGTAACTTCTAGCTCAACACAATCACTCGCATGACGTGGTTGCCAGCAACGACATATTGGAAAAAATATAAGCTTTTTCACATCAATGACATATTGAAAAAAATAGGGTTTAATGCACGAAACCCCCTCGTGGAATATAAATTCGGTGCTTTAGCCCCATTTGATTTAAAAAATGCGTCAAATCTCCATGTGTTATAATTAATCATGCGCCAACCCCCCTCCAAGAACAAAATTTAATTTCCAAAAAAAATGAAAAATGATTAGTTTTTTAGTATAATTTAGAAATTTTGACAAAGTTACTTGCATATTTAACCACATTATTAAAAAAAGTGATTTCAAAGTTGTAAAATTTGTTCTTGAAGGGGGTTTTGCGCATGGTTAATTAAAACACAGAGAGGTTTGACGCATTTTTTAAATCACAGGGGGCTAATGCGCCGACTTTATATTTCACAAGGGGGATTGGCACATTTAACCCAGAAAAAATATAAGCTTTTTCAAATTTGAGGTGGGGTGAGACCTAGAACTGTCCCCGGTTCGGAACCGAACCGGAACCGAACCGCCGGTTCAAGGTTCCAAATTTTAGGGAACCAGAACCGGAACCGCATAGTCCCGGTTCTAAAACCGGCGGTTCTGGTTCCAAACCGGTTCAGTTTCCGGTTCGGTTTCCGGTTCCACTTTTTTATTTTTATTTTTATTTTTTAAATATTAAAGTTTAGTATATTTAGATAAATTAATAAAAGAGTTACCAAAAAATTACAAGAATAAAAATCTCTCATTATTAAAATTAAGTACAAAAATAAGATAGTTAATAGCTACATAGTTATAAACTAGATTGTAAAATCCTTTAATCTATTATTCTAAAATAAGTTAATTATTAATAAATAATTGATACTTATTACTAATAATTTTAATAAATTATAGATTAACTAGTATAGTAATAACTAAGGAGTAGTAACTAGTAACTCTTATAATGTTATTTCTATTATTAATACAATTAATGCTAATAATATTATCATTTTTTAGCATTATTAATATTATTGATAATAATATAATTAAATAAATAATTCAAAAAAAGAGGTTCCGAACCTGAACCGTCCGGTTCCGAATCGGAACCGCCGGTTCTGGTTCCATATTTTTGGGGAAACCGAACCGGTCTAGTAAACCTTCGGTTCTGAACCGAAATACTATGCGGTTCCGGTTCCGATTCCGGTTTAACCGGAAACCGCGGACAGGTCCAGTGAGACCTAATATGACCCCAACTATATTGCATCCATTGAGGACGTGATAGCCGAGGCTAGGGGTGTGGACGTGGGAATGGTGGGACCAAAAAACGTAACATCCTTGGGTCTTTAATATTACTCCATGTGTCCCTAAAAATATTTCAAATTTTCCTTTTTGGACGTCCCAAAAAAACTTCAACTTTCCCATTTTGGTAAATAACTTGTGGTTCACAACAATTCTTACACATTTCTCTCTTCTCTGTACAATTCTTCACCACACAATACCAATTATCTTAATCCATGTGCCATTTGTACTGTGGAAGAAAATTTAGGGACGGAGGGAGTACAATAAACGGATTCATGTCCACACTCAAATTACTTTTAGAAAAAAATACAAATTCAGAAACTACATTAAAAACTTTACAAAGTCACAAAAACCAGAATCAAATTTGACAAAAATTTGATATATAAAGTAAGCGGTTAAGAGTGATTTGGGTTGACCAAGTGAATACGAAATATATCTTACAAATTGGGACTGAGGGAGTATATTTATATTTCTCGCATTCATAAAATTAAACATATATGAGCTATATATTAAGTTACTCTTCAATTTCGTAGGAAAACATGGAGTAACAAGTCTTGCCCGTTTTAGGAAAAACAAGCAAATTTTCAGGCTTACTATAGTTTTTTATTTTTTATTTAAAATACATTTTATTGGTATTCATAAAAAATCCATTCTGTGTGTTTATTATGTGACCATAACAATCTTGTGAACTCTTTATGTTAAGGTATGAAGTTCCATCCGAAAAGGTCAATCTAATAGGAGAATGGTCTAAAGCCTTATATAACATTTTATTGTTTTATTGTTTTTCGGCGTAAGACAAATACTTTACCATGCTTCATCAGTCTGAATTGGGCTGACAATATCAAGTGTATAAATGGATCAAACAAACTTTAAGGATGTTTTTACTTGGACTGTAATTCGTCCCAGACCAGACCAGACCAGACCAGACCATACTAGATCAGATCAGACCAGACCAGACTTGGATAGTTATAAAAATACAAAGAAACCAGACCAGACCAGACCAGTTCAGACCAGACCAGATCAAACCAGACCATACCAGACCAGCAAATTACGGTCCAAGTAAAAACATCCTAACTTGATACCCTTAATAATGAATGTTTTATTGTTTAGCTTTTTAATGTTGGACAAATATTTTAACACTTTAAAGTCAGAATAGAACGTACGTGTTATCGCATTTTTCAATCAGGCTATAACATGCTTAAATCTCGGACTTAAAATTGTTTGAAAAGTAACACAATTTCTTATATGTGAATTTCAATCGAATTATATTTGACCGTGAGGAATGACTTAACATGTCCTAGTTGTGGCTCAATGGCTCATTGATTGCAGCATGCAGCCCAATCTTTATTTGTCTATGCTTGTTGTTGAATCTTGTTTGAGCATAATGGGCTGCAACAACTAGCATGGACAAGTCTAAAACTCGCAATCAGGCTGTGTTTTCAAAATATTATGGCATGGGTACGTTATGCACCAAATTTCTAATCACAGACTCTAATTATGTCAAATATGCTCTATTTACTCTAGAGAGGTTATAAAAACAAAAACTCTAAAGAGATTATATTACAGAAAATATGATAAATGTTTGAGTTGAACATGTCTTGTTGTATATTTTTCTGTTTCAAGTGTTTTATATCTCATTGAAAAGATTGTTTTGAGTTCTAAACATGTGTTCAGACTTCATATGCTATGTGTTATAGATTAACCGGAAATTCATAATCATTTCCGAGTTCACTCAAAACTTGTGGAGTAATTTTGATCCGTTCCAAGCGTTTATTGGTCGTTGCAAAGATCATGTCAAGTTCTAAGACTCTAATTTAGGCTTTTTTACAAAATATTAGGGGATATGTATGTATGACCAGAGTCGGCTATAGGACCTATGAACATAGGCATATGCCTAGGGCACCCATAGCAAGTGGGGCACCATCTTAAAAAAAATATTTAATTGGTTTTAAATTATATATTCTTGTAAAATAAAGTTAAACATATACAAAACAAAAATATTGAATATGTATTCTTTACAAAAATTATTCTTTGTGAAGATATATTTAATAATATAATTTTAGCTTTAAGTTGTCTCTTTAGTTCTTATTATTAAGAATTTAAGACTGAAAAAGTGAAATAACACTATGAGACTAAAGCGTATCAAACAGAATACACTAAATAAAGAAAAAAAATTATATAATTTTTTAGGGTTCTATTGATAGGTGAGTAAAAATAAAATATTGATTCTAAACATCACACAAAATTGTGATGTAAATGATTAAAACGAGAACACATATTGATGTAAATGATGACAATGAAAACAAAAATATTAGTAAGTGTGTAGATGACACTAATAAATAGGCTTCATATCAAAATACATAGATTATATAAATGAGAAAGACAATGGTTCAATTAAAAATGGATTTAGAGTTTCTTCTTATTAAAGTTATTATAACTCGGGAAATTAGACACTAATACATTATGTATGCCTAGAAAAATATTTTTCTTAATCAGTTTTCGTCTAGGGCATCAAAGTCCCTAAAGACGACCCTATCTATGACTAAGAAATTAAAAAAATGACCGCGTTTACTCGAACAAGTGTAACATTGACTTGATCATATCTTTATGTGTTGTTTTGAATTTGAGGTGTTTCATATTTCGTTGGATAGATCTTTTGAGTTCTAAAACTCATAATCAGACGTTATTATCAAAATTTTACGGCATGTGTACCTTATGCACCGAATTTCGAATCATTTACTATAATTACGCCTAATATCCTCTATTTACCTTATCCTAACACTGGTGCAAAATTACCTTTTTGCGGCGCTTAAATCAACCAACGTGCGGCGCTTTCAGGCGCCGCACATCTCTCTGCCGCAATTTAACGCGTGCGGCGCTTAATTTAAAAAAGCGCCGCAAATATTTTATTTTAAAAAAAATTATATTTAATATGTGTGCGGCGCTTTTTTGCGTATAGGCGCCGCAAAATATTTTTTTAAATTAATAATTTAATACGTAACCGTGCGGCGCCTTTCTGTAAATAAGCGCCGCAAATATTTTTAAATAAATTAAATTTTTTTTTTTTTTAACTTTCGCAGCGCCTTACACAAATAAGCGCCTCAAGTTTCCAACATTTTTTTAAAATATTCAATCATATTTAGGATCTTTCAAAAACGTCCTGTAACAGAATTAACAAAATACCAAAAGTGTAAACTGTTTAAAGTCATCACAATATCAACAACATGAACTTCACAAATTACAAAATCAGCAAAGTGTAAGCAATTCAAGTAACCAACAGATTACAAAAATCTTCATAAAAATGATTTCAAAAAACACTTAACACAATACATAACCAATGTAATCAACTTTTACATATTTAAGAGTATATCCAAGAAAAATCATGCCCATATATTGCGAATGTTATTAAACTCATCTTCAGAATATGCCTCAGTTCTTGAATACCAATCCTACAAATATTTAGATAAAATAAAACATAAATAAAAAATATTACAACTTTTAAATTAGAAAAAATTAAACGAAGTTAAAAAATAAGAATAAATAATGATATACCTTTCCAATATCAAAGCTATCAACATACGAAATCACTTCCCATATGTATCGCATGGTATAATATCCGCATTCTGTGTTTCCGTTTTGTCTGGCACACTTTTTTGAAATACAATATTACAAAATATATGTATCAAAGTTAATGGTGATTGAAATAAGTTATTGATGAATTTACCTTAACATTATGCCATGTGATTGGCTTTCCATCACCATTTCTTGCGGAAGCAACTCTGTATGCTCTACATTAAAAAAATTATGTTAAATGATATAAATAATAATAATAATAATAATAATAATAATCTATAGCAATTATTATAAATAAAAAATATTAAAAGAATACTTACAATGCTAGATCTTTCTGAATGATGATATTAGAAAAGCTTGGGATTGAATTGAAGATATAGCCTTTATTAACCGAGGGGCAAATGACTATCAAAATCCAATGAAATCTAAATATCAAAAAAGTTACAATTAATTAAAAAATTAAATTTACATAAACAGATACATTATATAAAATAAAACTATTTACCCTTCATTATATGGAAGCAAGATCATTCTTTTTCCAAATGTCGCACACAAAGATTGTTTCATATATGTTATTGTGCCCTTCTTGTCAAGTTGATAAGAACCATAAGAGCACAATAAGGGGCACAAAAACACAACATCATCACGTTACAAATCATTCAATTTAGCTAAGGCACACCTATATTAAACATAATATAGCATCATTATACAATTTTGAAGTTCAAATCATTTCATTAACTTTAATTTAAATATTGTTATATTTATTTATTTCCATCATTTGCAATGGAGCCAAAGATTCATTATTTTTTGGCTTGAGATTATGATGGAATAAAGCAAAATGGCTCACTAAACTGTCTGCGCTTCTTTGTTATGAAGCAACAGTCAGTCCATGCAATTTTGGACGGGATTTTCACTATGGGTCATCCGGAAACAATCTCTCTGTGCTTTAGTACAGGGGTAAGACTACGTACATCCGACCCCCCCTTACCCCACCGTAGGTGGGAGCCTTTGCGGCACTGGGGTAAATGAAAATGAAATTGTTATATTTATTTAAAATACTTACAATGCAAAGGATTGAATGATGCACATATCCACAGAATCACCCTCGAGTAGTTCAGCCAAGTCTTTACGATCGATGATAGTCCCAAATTCACTGTTTTGCGGATAGTGAAAAGCATCAACAGGTAAAGCAATAGAGAATTTACACACCTCTGGCTCATACCACTCTAGCATCTCATGTAGCTCCAATAAATCTTCAGTTAGTGACTGCAAAATAGTATCACTAACCAATGGGTATGTGCTAGGAGGAACCACAACCCGAGGAGACTCTCTCGGAATAAAAGCTTTATTCTTTTGAATCACATCTTTCCGCTTTGACTTTACCTGATCCTAAAAAATGGTCAGAATGACAGTAACATAGAGTAATTTTGTATTGTTTGATAATTGCAAAGAGTTATTTATTCACCTCTCCTTCAAAAAATACTAAATGACTAGGCCACTCAACAAATGATCCTATAGTGTTTGTCAACACATATATATCAGCATTTTCATTTGGAACTAAAAGAGGACATTGCTCAAAACCTGTAAAAACCATTGAAACAAAAAACAAACTTAAATAATAATAACATTTAAAGATTTGCATCTCACAAAATCTGTGAACACTATATATGGAAACAAAGGATGACATTTCACAAAACCTGTATAAATCATAGATATGTTAACTTTAATGGTATTAGCAGACATCGGAATATTATGTATCATGGCCCCCGGGGCTGTATTATAAGCCAAAGCCATTGCTACATATTTCAAATCTTTGTGTCCATCTTCTGTTTGTGACTCAACAGCTAGCTTACAGGATGAACCGTCCTATAATTATTTTCAAAAAATAAGTTAATAAATATTGTAGACATTAATAAATATATATGATTTTAATAATTACTTACAACAAAAAATTTCGTGGAATAGGTGCGGTGGAGTTCATAGTGTCTGCATCTACTGTTTGAGAATGCGTAGATGGAAATGTGGTAGATTGGAATCCTCTTTGAGCAAAAGCTTTTTCCATATCTTTCATCCACTGATCTGTAACTTCTTCAAATCAGCATCGCTCAAATTACCAATCTTACGTGAACTCCTCGGCTCTCGCTCAAACACTCTTTTATGCCCCACACCTCCTCCAACACCGCGTACACGTCCAGGATAATCAGGTTTCTCAAATATCTCGGTAAGAATATCATGTCGTCCGTGTGGCTTCCACGTCCCTGTAGCAACATCATCTTGAATTTTATCCTATTACATATAAAAAAAGAGTTACAAAATTTATACGTAAAACATTCTTATGTGAAAAGTTTATACGTAAAATATACTTATGTGAAACATACTTACAAGTTTTTCTTTCTTCTTTTTCATGGCTTCGGTGTTACTGGGAAAGCTAGTTGTCCATCTGCTGTCAATCCAGATCTAGCATAAAACCAACTCACATGTCTCGGAATGTCATCAGAAGATACGCTAGATTTTGTGGAATCCACTTCAGACTTAGTCAAAAACTGATCTAGTAATCCTTGATCTTTCCATTTCGGTATGGAAAGTGCATATCCGGAGCGACCCATATGGTGAGGGTAAATATTCAGTAACGCAGCTTGTTTGTTTTTATCACTTAATTCCTGCATAAAATTTAAAAAGTATGAAATTCATATTATAAAACAAAATTGAATTCAATAAAATTACATTTGGATTATACCTGAAACTCCGGAGTCATGCTCCTAGCGATAAAATCCTCCCACACATCTTGTGTCAAAATGCCTTTATACTTCACATAAGCTTCACCACTATCCTGTCCAACTGGTCGTGTCTTATAAAAAAAGCCAGTCCTCAATCGGTTTCTAAAGTCCCGATGTAACTTTCCCATCTTTTTTATGGTCAACTTGTACATGGTGTCATCAACAAAATACTCATCCTACATAGAGGTGATTTAATATATGCATTAGGACTTGTAATCTTTTCTTATTATTAATAAAGTTAAAATATATAATTAAGTGTACATACCTGGATCTCTTTCCACATCGAGCACGTACTATCTTGTCCACAAAAGATTTGAACTTCTCCGCCCACGCACCAATTGGCTGACCATTTTTATCAAAATCAACTATTTTTTCCCGTCGCTAGTTCTGCGCCCACTGCTACTATGTTCCTCCGCCGTAACATGAGGTTCCTCATTGAGAATAAAGTCATCTCCATCACTATCACTCAAAGTGTGTAGCTCCTGCAACAGTGTTATTATTAGAAGCACAAATAATATATGAAAGAAAAATGAATTTTAATTCAAGAAAAAAACATAATAACGTTAAGATTACTTACAATTCACTCATGATATCACTTTGACTTTTTGAAGAAAATTTCTATGCCATCGCTATGATTTCCAACAAATGAAAGATCATCTTCATTGTAATCGATTGTTGCATTTCTGTCATGCATGCCAGTGGACAATGACGGCATATCTTCAATATAATCATCTTCTCCAACGTCACAATCATCCACATTTAATTTTTTCTTACCTGGTAAAACAACTGACCATCGTTTGTTTGAGGGATCCTCTACATAAAAAACTTGTTCAGCTTGGGATGCAAGTATAAACGGATCATCACGATATCCGGGTCGAGTAAAATCCACTAATGTCACTCCTGTTTGATCACGCTGAACACCTCTTCGAATATCGGCCCACTGACACTTGAAAAGTGAAAAACTCCTGTTCGTGTAATTCAACTCCCATATATCCTCAATTTTTCCATAGTAAGACATTGTTGCATAAAGAGGATTCTGATCATTTGAACTTGCATATTCTGTTGAAGATGCTACCACTGATACCCCACTATTCTGTAATACAGATTTGGCATCATGTCGGGTAGTATAAAAGGTGTAGCCATTGATATTGTATGCTTCATATGAATCAATTGTGCATTTAGGACCATAAGCCAACCACTTAACATCTTCATCAACCTCATTATAAACATCATTCCTGTCATTGAAGATGAAGTCTTTAAACCAAGATGAAAACGTACGATTGTGTTCTTTAGTCAACCATACTTCACTTTTCAACGGAAATTGAGTCTTCAAAGCATTCATATGTTGTTGCACATATGGAGAAATAATTTCTAAATGATGCAACACGAGAAGATGGGCCTTTTCCACTAACTCATTGTCCACATTCTTTAGTAATTTCTTTCCAAGTATGCCTTTTCCTTCATTCCTATCATCATGTCTAGACTTTGGAACACCTAATGATTCAACATTCATCAAATAAGGTGTGCAAAATTCAATGACTTCTTCATCAATTACACCCCTGATTATACTTCCTTCAGGTCGACATCGATTTTTCACCTTTGATTTCAAATATCACACATGTCTTTCCATTCCGTACATGTATCGTAAAAACACAGGACCACACATCTTGACTTCTCTAACCAGATGTACCACAAGATGCACCATAATGTCAAATAGTGAAGGTGGAAAATACATTTCAAGCTGACACAATGTAATAACCACTTCAGCTTGCAACGCATCAAGTTTCTCAGGGTGAATCACTTTCTGACATATGGAATTGAAGAAGAAACACAACCTCATGATCGCACATCTAACATGATCAGGTAAAAGCCCTCGTAGAACAACAGGCAACAAATGTTGCATCAGAACAGGATAATCATGAGACTTCAAACCAACCAATTTCATATCCTTCAATGATACGAGATTCTTAAAATTTGAAGAATACCTAGAAGGCACTTTGATGCCATATAAGCTTTCACAAAAAATTCGTTTCTCAACCTTTGAGAGTGTGTAGCAACCTGGTGGAAGATAAAAACCATTTTCCCGCGGTTGTGGTGCCAATTCTTTTCGAATATTTAAATGTTCAATCATGTCTTTTCAGATATTAATTCCAACCTTTGTCTTTCCGGGAACATTCATAATGGTCGAAATGATGCTGTCACACACATTTTTTCCAATGTGCATAAGATCAAGACAATGCCTCACAGATAAGTCCTTCCAATACGGAAGTTCCCAAAAAATAGACTTCTTCTTCCACAAACTATGTTTGTTCCGCTTATATGGCTTACCAAAAACCGTGTTCAAATCTTTGACCTTATCATATATTTCTGATCCACTTAATACACGTCGAGGAACACCGTGTTCAGCTTTTCCATTAAATGCCTTTTTGAGTGCACGATAACGATGGTTTCGTGGAAGAAATCTTCGATGACTCATGTATACATTCTTTTTGCAATTGGGTAATCGCAAATCAAGAGTGTCATCTTCACAAATGGGACATGCATTTCCACCTTTAACTGTATATCCAGAAAGATTTCCATAAGCTGGAAAGTCATTAATAGTGCAATACAACAAAGCACACAAATTAAAATTTGTTTTTGTGTGCATATCATATGCTGTAACACCCTCATTCCACATAAGTTTAAGATCATCAACTAATGGTGCGAGGTACACATCAATATCATTACCGGGTTGTTGTGGTCCCGAGATAAGCAGAGACAACATTATGTACTTCCTCTTCATGCACAACCATGAAGGCAAATTATAAATAACCAATAAAACTGGCCAAGTACTATGTTGACTACTCAATGTGCCATATGGATTCATACCATCAGTGCATAATCCAAGTCTCAAATTCCTGTCTTCTTTGCCAAAATCAGGATATTTCAAATCAATTTGCCTCCACTGTGGTGCATCTTGAGCATGCCACACCAAGTTTTTTGCATCTTTCTCATTCATGAATAATCTTTTAAATCTAGGAATGATAGGAAGATACCACAACACTTTGGCAGGTGTTTTGGTGTATTCAGCATCAAACCCAACATTAATACCCTTCTTCTTCTTATAACGTGAAGTGTGACACTTTGGACATTCATTTAGGTTTTCATATTCATTGCGGTACAGTATGCAATCGGCTGGGCATGCATGAATCTTCTCCCATTCTGTTCCCATTGGACACAACAACTTTCTAGCCTTATAGCTCGTATCGAGAAGTGTATTTCCTTCTGGAAGCATTTCTTGAAGCAATATCAGCAACTCAGTGAAACTAACATTACTCCACCCATGTTTAGCTTTCAAATGAAATAATTTGAGAACAACAGATAGTTTGGAGAATTCAGAACCCGTGAATAGCGATATATTGGCGGCCTCAATCAAATTCTCATAAGATTTTGGTTGATAATCAAAATTATCATAAACATCATTCAAGAGTTCATCAATTCTATCTTCATTGGCATCATCATCCGCAACACCATCATCAATATCATTTGAAGTAGTAGTAATATGAGTAGCTTTACGCTTTAGATGACTAGAAGTTGCTCCAGGAAAAAGGTGTTCGACATCCACACGATTCTCACCATGGAATGTCCATGTCATATAGTTTTCTCTAAAACCCTTCTCAAATAAATGTTGAAGAACTATGTTCACGTCATTCTCTCTTTTAATGTTACGGCACATTGAACAAGGACATAAAATTCCTTTTTGTCCTTGTTGCTTCTGATGCGCAACAGCCACTTTCACAAACTCATGAACACCATTGAAAAATTGAGAAGTATTTCTCAAACCATACATCCAGCTACGATCCATGATTAACAACACTAAACTTTATCTAAAAATAAAAAAATAAAAATAAATTATTGCATACTTTTTTTCTTTTTAAGCACACTTTTTATGTAAGATTGCAATTGAGGGTTATGCTAATATAAAACAACCTCTTGGAAGTATTTTGCTGCTCATTACAACTATTCCAAAATTATATTACTCAAAATTAATTAAAATAAAAAATATTGAAAAAAATTATTATTAAAAAATATACATACCTGCGGATCGGAGGTTGGAGTAAGCGGACCGGAGGAGCGGCGGAGGTTGAGCGGAGGAGCGGCGGAGGTTGAACGGAGGAGCGGCGGAGGTTGAGCGGAGGAGCGGAGGAGGTGCGACGGCCGCTGGGTCACGAGGGTGCGCGCGACTTCGACGGCAACCTCCGAAGGTGAGCGGCGGACGGACGACCCTCGACGGCTTCGACGGCAACGACGGTGAGCGGAGGAGTGGCGGACTAGGTGCGACGATGTAATCGGCCGGCCTTAGGGTTTATCCCAGAAAAATCTATTTCTCTGCTGCGAGCGACCGGCTATGGCGCTCTTTACAAAAAGGCGGCGCACGCCCCTTTTAAAAATCTTAATTTTTTAAAAAAGTAGTTTATTTTCTGCGGCGCTTTTTACAAAAAGGCACCGCACGTCCCTTTTAAAAATCCGAATTTTTTAAAAAAGTAATTTATTTTCTGCGGCGCTTTTTACAAAAAGGCGCCGCACGCCCCTTTTAAAAATCCGAATTTTTAAAAAAAGTAGTTTATTTTCTGCGGCGCTTTTGAAATATAAGCGCCGCCTAGGAAATCGGAACACGTATGCGGCGCTTTTTGCATATAGGCGCCGCACGCCTCTTTTAAAAATCCGATTTTTAAAAAAATTAGTTTATTTTTGAATAAAAATTTGGCGTCAGTCTGCGGCGCTTTTATAAATAAGCGCCGCAAAGACGCGAAAAATTAAATAATTAAAAAATTAAACACATATTAGAGGCGCTTAAAGAGAAAAGCGCCGCACGTCGTATATTTTGAAGGCGCTTGTTTATTAAGCGTCTCAAATGACGTGACGCAATTTAACAAATTTTTACTAGTGTAATATTTGATTTGATCATATTTTATTGTAAGTTATTCTGTTTCAAGCGTTTTAATCAGACGTTGTTTTCAAAATTTTATGGCATGTGTACCTTATGCACCTAATTTCGAATCATTTACTATAATCACGCCTAATATCCTCTATTTACCTTATCGGCTTATCCTAATATTTGATTTAATCTCGTTGTTCAATCATGATAATATCTTGTTAAATTTATGGAGTACTTTTTAAGAGCACGTTAACTATTATTTCATATAATCACTACTGTTAATATTTTCAATGTATAGGCGCACGCGCGCGCGCACACACATATATATATAAGAGTTCAAATACAAACCATGCTTAAAATACTAACCTACAAACTCAATAATATGCATCACTTTAAACTTCAATATGCAGTAAAAATAATCTAAAGATGTAGGGGTGAGATTACATACAAACTAGTCCTCTCATTCAAATCATCTTTACATTATTTGTATTACACATTGAAGTTCAAAATGTTTCATATTATTCAAGCCATAAAATAGCAGTTTCATATTTACATTATTTGTATTGCATATTGAAATTCAAAGAGTGCATCTTTACATTATTTGTAGTGCATATTGAAGTTCAAAGTATTGAATATTATGGCAGGCAGGCCTATTTTAGAAATTTCAAACCTTTTTAGTCCTATTTTGGGTAATATTCTCTATATATATTTCTGTTAATAAGGTGGTGCCAAGTGCAAACTCCAATTGGAAAGAAAAGAAAGTTATTAAAGGATTAAAAGAAGAGTAATTTTTTTATGAAGGAAAGTACTTTTAATAAAACCTTCTTGATGAAAACCCGGCCTGTTATTCTGTTCTTTCTCGGAGCCTAAAAGTCTAAAACTGCCGATTTTACTTTCCGATAAATTCATGGGAATTTTTTATGTACCCAAAGTCCAAACATAGGAGTGAAAAGGCTTAATTGCGTAAGAATTTTAACAATAAAATGCTCTAAAATATCTCTGTCAATTCAGTTCAGGGACCCATGGGGGGGTTGACCCTATACAATTTCTAGGCTACAATAGATTAACGCAGTCATTAGTCAAAACCAACCAAATTGAAGTTTTTGTTGTTTTATTAAAATTATTAAATAGTGGCATGAATTTGGTGCAACCGAATTGGCGATCCAGTCATGTAGAATTGGACATCCCACAAAAGACTTGTTCGGAAGTTAAACACGTTAGGCTATCAGCATCCAGGTGTGAACACCGGTCAAGGACTAGATCACATCTGAACTGGTTTGGACCGGAATCGGAATCCCGAAATAATTGAATTCAAGACCGAATCAAAATAACTTATGTTTAAGACCGGAGCGGATCAGAGTATTGTCATTTTAACCGGAGCAGACCAACAAAGAATGCAAAACATGTATTAGCATAACATTTTGTCCAATTTTCCCACTTGAGCTACCCGTGCGGATTTGTATTAGCATAACATAAAAGCACACCAGTCATGTAATAGAAGTCGTTACTTATCAGTGGGCATAGCTCAACTGGTAGCGAGGGAGTGCCACAAGGGTTAGGTCCCGGGTTCGAATCCCGACAACTGCGATGAGAGGTTACTAAGCTAAAAAATGCATAGGGCCTCTGCAAGTACCGGGTACAGAGCCCTACTCTCTATCTATCAGATTGAGATTATAGTCCAACTTGCATCCTCTCAACGTACTGTCCGGGCGGGGTTGGGGGGGCCTCAGGGATGGGGTGTCATCCTTTTTTTAGAAGTCGTTACAAAAGTTTTGATACTAACATGTTTTTCTTGAAATAAGATGCACTATATCCGTCACATTGGAAGGTTCTCATAGCAAAACGGCACGGTTATTTAGACAATAATTAAATAAAGTACTTCGAGTATATTTTGAGAAATAGTTTTAATAGGTATATATTATAATGTAGTTAGTATTGATAACTGTGATGCTATAAATGTGTTATTTTTAATATTTAATACTTAATTTGTCATTTAAGATTGTTAATTGTTTCCTAAAATGGAAATGAAAACTTTGATATGGGACATCCAACAAATGAAAGTAGGAACCTTCTATAGACATTTAATGATTAATTTGTCACTTAAGATTGAAAACTAGTATTCCACCCGTGCGTTGCACGGGGCGTAAAATGAAGATATTATAAATATTAACATATAAATGTAATTAGATCGTAATATTTATATAGTAATCAATAAATATATAATAACAAATATTAGAATTTTTATAAGCACTCGTTTATAAATTATTGAAAAGTTCCTTGTAGACAACTCATTTTAGTTTTTCCTGATTATCCCCGTCATCGCATATCACGAACTTCAAGCCTTGAAACCGCAACTAACAACTATACATGCAGAAAAATTGAACATCGCAGAAAAACTCCCATTATTTTTAACGATTGCCCCTGTCTCATCGATAAGAACTTTCAATCCCGATCAATTCTTTCCTTTTATACATCTCCATACCAACGAATGTCTTGTTATAAAAATAGAAAAGATTTGTACTATAAGTTTTGCAAGAGAATGTCTCCCTGAGTCATTGATAAGACTCTTCAATCCCGGTCAATTGTTTCATTTTAATACTTAGTTAGGTCGTGGATCCTTCAACCTTCAAGAATGGGAAGTCCTAATATGGGAATTGGTGTAAGTAATAGGTAAATTTGCAAAAGCAAAGTAAATCTTAATAACTTTTAATAACAAAAAGTAATTTTTTGGGTCTTGTTGGTCCCTGTTTATAGAGATGATAATCTAATAGCAATATATCAAAGAGTGAATCACAGAATAATGTGACAATATGAAGATAGTTGAAACCCTCTCTGGTATACTGTGTAAACCTTTTACAAAATGATGTTGGCACTGAAGCTCTAAAGGTCGAATCTCAAAATTAACGCAAACTTAAACCTTATGCACATATTTATAGGCGAAGGTAGGTTTGCGTACAGGCTTTATGCTAGGAATATGGGCCTGACAACTTTGGCCCCATATCCTTTATACCCTAATAAATACAAAGCATAAATACATAGAGGTATAATAAAGGCTGAGCTATTACAAGACAAATGACAAACTTGATTCACAATAGAATAGACTTCAACAATCTCCCCCTTTGTGATGAAGTGTCGTCCTGCTTTTATCTCCGAGCTTTATAGTAGCTTCTTCGAATCTTCAGCGCGTGCTCATACAGTCTCAGTGACCTTCTTTTGTCGAGTTGTTCACTTATGGCATTGAGGATGGTTAGCACTCTGTCATGCTCTTTTAGCTCTTCATCTGCAGCATCAACAAGTTTGCTTTCAAGATCTTCTTTGATAGATCGCAGCTTCTCCTGAATAATCTTCAATGTTCCGTCACAGTCCTTGTGGATCTCACTCACCACCATCAGGCGTTTCTCTTGCTTATGATTCAAATAAATCACTGCAGGCGGAGTCTCAAAAATATGATTTGCTCTGAAGTCTTTGAGCTCATGTCCATACAGAATTGGTCTAGCTAGATTCACCTTTGGGATGTTGTTTTCCAATGCCATTTGAAGATCGTGAGAGGCATGAAAGTGGACTTGTCTCAGCATGAATCTTTTGATTGCTTTAAATCCCTCTTTGCAGACTCTACTGGAGCTGATTGGAAGAAATCTGCAAGCCATGAACATCTGATATACATCATCTATCTTAAGCATAATGAGATCATTCTCTTGGAAAACAAATTCGCTCGAATTAGTGCGTTGCAGCTTGAAGCTGTAGAATGGTATGCTTTGATGATCTTCTTCTTGTATGTTGAGAATGTCACAAATTGGACGTGTGTTGTTCTTCAGATCTTTCTCCAAGACTCTCTTTATTTCCCCGTGGATCTATGACTGAGCATATGAAGATGCCCACCAACTTGCTTTCCTTTTAAGTGTGTGAGTCCTCGGAGTTTCAGCTCGTCAAGTTGCTTAACTTTCTCCGGTTTACGCCATATTCGCTTTCTGAGTTCCTCTTGGAAGGGGGCATTTATCCGCACGTTCTCCCAAGGCTTTTCACTCTTGGGCATTTGGGCCCTTGATTGTCTAATAGCTGATTCGAGTTCCTTAGGAGTCTTAGTGTAGTCTTCCCCTTCTTTGAGTTCCTCTTCATCAAGCTGAATTATATCTGCAGCGCACTTTGCAATCAGCTCTCTAATGTACCAACATCTTTGCATTTCGTACTGCTCTTCTTCACACCTTATGTTGTCCCACTCCGTCCACTTGCTCGGCCGTTTATCGTGCACAATTATGTCTTCCAGTTCATCATGAATGTCCATGGACGGAGCTGGGGAAGCTTGCTGGTGCTGTTGTGAAGGCATGTCCTGAGAGGTAGAGCCAGGTTCACTTGGATTTCCCGTTGACATCAGTTTTGAACTAGGTTCTGGCTGATGGCCTGATTGTAAAGATGTACCTGAGGTAACATCATCAGGACTTCCATTCCCTCCTCGGTCTGTATCTTTAGGAGAAGCCTCAGAATGTTTCGTCTAGCTCAACCAGGCTAGAAAGGTTTGCTTGGTTTTGGTTTTGGCTGGAGTAGGGTGGCTATTGGTTGGTTGAGGATTCGGGTTGATCTGGCTGTGGGATGTGAAGATGAATCCCGTGCACGCCTGGAAATCAGCAGGACATTCATTCTAGAGGCGCTTTCGGACTTCACTGAAGTTGGAGGGTAAGATTTACAAGCAAGTCAAAGGAAACTCAGCTACACTGAAGAAGAGGAGCACAAAGACAAAGATATCTGCGTGGCAATGTTGATTGAATACGATTGAACACCAAGGGGGAGATTGTTGGGAATATTTTATGTTGTCCAATCTAATTAAATATCTTTGTATTTGTGTAGTTATTAATTAAATGTGTAATATGGGCCACAAATGTATACCAGCCCATTACCTTGTTTGTAATCCATAAGTTAGCCAACTTCTCCTATAAAAGGAAGGTAACTTAGGGAAAACCTAGGACTTTGATAGAATAGAGGCGAGATAGAGATTAGGTTTTACGCTGCTCTCCTCGAGGGAGAGCAGCGGCTAGTTCACGATATACCAGATTCATTGTTCATCTGATATCTTTCTATCTACTTCTTTATCTGCTATGGTTGTTTGTTTGTTAAAGAATCTGGGACTAACATGTCTTAAGAACAAATAGTTCAAAATAGCTATTTTTAATACCCAATCATTCCTTACTTATCTCGGTTGACGCTTGGATTAGTGTCATTATTAATTTTTCATTAAGTGATAGAAATCACGAATGAAAATAATCCATTTCTTACTTGACCAATAAACACCCTCTTAAAATTTAGAGTCATAATATCAAAAGTAGTATAAATAAAGATAAACTTGCATATTTCATAAGAAAACAAATATCCCAAAAGAGCTATTATTAAAACAAATATTCCCAAAGTAGTACTCTCTCCGTCACTTATAATTTTGTCAACTTTCTTTTTTTGGATATCCCACTAACTTTGTCACTTTCTCTTTTAAGTAAAGAATTGTGGTTCCAGTTTATTCTCTCCTCTGCACAAACCTCAATCACACAATTTTTATTTTATTATTTCCCGTGCCGGTCAAACTTAGCAAAGTTATTAGGGACGGAGGGAATATAAATAATGGTAAACTTGCCTCTCATTATCAGTTCCATCATCTTCCTCATCAACAAATGCCTTAACTGGGTCACCTCTTGAGAAAGGAGCGTCTAGTTTAGCATTTTGGTCTACATCATCTATGTCGTTGTGCTCCTCACCTGAAGAGCTACAAATAGAGAAACGTTCTTCTTTTATGAGTGTGGAAAACAGGAACTTGAAATGGATGTAATTATAAGTAAAAGCAACTTTTGCCTGCAAACAACTATTGGAACTCACCATTCATTTGGATGGAGAGAATCAAACTTCAAGTTCATAGCAAGAACAGACAGTGCCATTACTCATTAGTCTCATCACGATCTTGAGAATCACCAAAAAGAATTTGAAGCTTTTGATTAAGAAAACACAAGGCTCCATCTTTAATAGAATTGTTCATGTACTTGAGAAACTTACATGTACTTCAAATATCTCATACAACAAAACTAATCATCCATGTATTAATGACCTGGGCTTTGCTTGCATGCTTGTACTTGAAAAGGCATTAGCCTGAATGTTCAACAAAGGTGACAAATGGATAAATTGTTCGATAATCTCTCTGTTCACCTTTACTTGCTCCCATTTCCTTTTATGAATGTTTATTGTTACTTGCTCCATGTTCTGTCTTTGACAACTTCTCTTACTTTTTCATCTCTAGATGAGAAAAATACCCTTAACTTTTGTTACCATTTTTTTCAAACATTTCCAACTTTTCATCACTCTCATACATTTTTTGGATATTAGCTATCCTACAACTTTCCAACTTTCCAACTTCCAACCATCTCGTTCTTTTATGTATTTATAGATTATGCATGTTTTCTTATGATATATTCTGCATGAACAGTGGCGGACCCACTAAGGGTCCCACGGGGTCCCGGGACCCCATGGACCTCCAAAAAAATACCTATATATATTTGTATATATTTTATATAAAATTAAGGAATAAGTATTTATACAATCAAAACTGACAAAGGACACAAATACGGAGCTAGAGCAATGGTAGGAGGCCCAATTCAAAGGCTTTGTACGTGCAGAGGTCGAACGATCGATTCCCCCAGGTGTCCACTTTTTTGAAAATAAAATTATGGCCACTTTTTGTACGTGCGTACCTATTGTTATCCTATTGCCTAATTTTTTTCATAACATATACTACTACAAAGCCAATATGTATCCCCGAATTTCAACTTATCTGTTTTATAAACTAATTTGGTCATGAAACACGTAATTCTTGAATTCACACACTAAATTTGTAATAATTAAAATAAGCAAGTTAAAAACATTTTTTCGGCGAGATGACTGAAGTTACCGTAAGAGCATCATCTTAGCCACTTTTTCATATGACTTTTTTCATATCTTAAAACATATAATTTAAATATCATTCTTTCCCAATATAGCAGATTCCGTCGCTTTAGCCATAATCGCATAATTTGGCTTGATGTGGTTTGATCTAAGACTAAAATCGATCCAATAACAAATTAAAGTCCTTAAAGTTAAACAAATAAATTGGTAATTGTATTAAATTAAAATAGAAACAAAGCTAATGAATATATTTTAAATAAAAAACCAAATAAAATATTGCGAAGTAATTGGATCAAAATTTTCAAATGTAGGCTTTTTAAATTTGATTTCTCATATGCATGGCCATTATTTTTAGAAGACATCAACTTTATAAAATTTCAGTGCCCGTTTAGTGACTATGTTTTTCGGCTTATCAACCAACTTTTTAACCAAACATGTAACTTTTGATTTGGTGCGCTGAATTATGTAATAATAAGAAAAATAAGGTTGAATTTACTTTTCAGGCTGTATTGACTGAAGTTGTTGTAGTTGACCATTTTATCTATTTTTTCATATCATTTCTTCTTTATTTTATTAATATAATATATTTTAAATATAATTTTTTCATAATCAGCAGAAACAGCCAATACAACCACTTCGGTCAGAACTTCATAAATTTCAGTAGAATCAGCCGATTCACAGGAGCGGATCTACAGCGAAGGGAATGGGGGCAGGTGCCCCCAATAACTTCTTATAATACTTTTGTAAAATTTATAATCTAGAGGTATGCCCCCAATTAAAATATAGTGATGCCCCCAATAGAAGTTTAATTTGGCTTCAATTGAAGAAGTTTCTTTCATTTTGTAAAATTATTCGCTTATGGACCGTATCATTTACTAAGGGTGTTTAATTAATCATTTTCTTGATTACTTTTCCTAGACTAATATAGGCAATATGTACGACTCATAACCACTATTTTATTTGCTTTTGTAAATTTACTTCCTCTGCAAGCATCTTTCATTTTATGTAGGGATTAAATAAAATAAGATTGCAATTATATTTTGTGGGATAGTTTCAAGTTATTAATGTTTTTTTGATAAATGATGCTAAATAGGACTAAAAATGTTTTAGAATTCTAAAATAGAACTATCATATTTTTATTTTTTTAAATAGGAGTAATATAATTGATGGCATGTTTTGACAGTATCAAACTTTAGACATGAAAGTATTTTCCGAACTTGACCGTAATTACTCGTATTTAAGGAAAAACATTACACTCCTATTTTGGAACTCTCAAATATTGTTACTCCTATTTCTGAAATTTTTCCATGTTTTTTAGATTTTAGTGGGAGTTAAAATATTGAACTAAGCTTATTAGCTTAGTTTTAGAAAGTACTAAAAAAAATTCCGTATGTGTTTAAAAATTATTAAAAATATTCTTAAATTGCAAGAACTGAAATGTAGTGTATATTACAAACTACTTTGTCCTATTATATTTTTCTAATCATTCTATTTTTCATGTCCTACTTTCGTTGTCACATACTACCTTCGTCCCTCTATGTTTGGGACAAAGGGGTGTGGTGTGGTTTTTAAGAAAAAGTAGAATTGTGTTGTTGGTATTGGATTGATAAAGTGTAAATCAAGTAGGAATGAATTCTAACCACTCAAATATTACCAAATATGGTATGGGACAAACTTAATGGGACGAACGAAAAAGGTAAAACGGGACAAAATTAGGGGGACGGAGGGAGTAATATATTTGGTAATATTTGTATGATTCATCATCTTAAATTATAATTTACAAACTAACATAGTTTTACTTTTATCAATATGCGTTTTTACGACTCAAACATATTTAGGCGACGGTATCATTAAATATTGTGCCCCCAATAAAACCAATTCCTGGATCCGCCACTGCCGATTCAGGCGATTTCAGTGTTACCAAACGAGCTCTAGTTGATAGTAGACATTTCTTTAAAATTTTGGAATATCTTTAAAATTGGTGTATACGCTAACTATGAAACAATATGCTATTTTAATATTTTACATCTTCTTTTTATTAATTAGAGTTACATTACCGTAGGGACCCCGTGATTCTGAGTTTCTGCATGAAGCATATGTATTAAGTTATAGTTAGGATTCTGAACGACCATGTCTCAATAGGATTCTTATATGTTAGAATATCCCCCTGCTTTAATCTTCTAGGGAGGGAAATTTTATGTAGGTATATAAGATAACTATATACCCCTGTCATACACTTTAGATTACATATATGTGCATATCAATTGTATTACATCTCAACATGGTAGTGAGTTGATGTTCAAGTTTGTGTGACAATGTTTTAGCCTATGCTTCTCTGTGTTCAAAATTTGTGGAATCTTTTCATGACAGTTTAATACTCCCTCCGTTCCCTTATTATTGTCTCATTTCCTATTCACTTGGTCAACACAAATCACTCTTAATCTCTTACTTTATTTATCAATTTTTTTATCAAATTTGATTCTGGTTTTTGCGACTTTGTAAAACTTTTAATGTAGTTTCTGAATATGCAATTTTTTTTCTAAAAATAATTCTAGTGCAGACAGGGATTTGTTTGCTTTATCGTTAGTCAAACATCGTAAACCGCAATGGGACAATAACAGGGGGACGGAGGTAGTAAATGACATAAGTAGTGTGGAATCTTTATTGTGTTGCCTGTGTACCCAGGCAATTCATTTAGAAAAGGGCAGAATTTGATACCCAATTGCCTGTGTACACAGGCAATGTACACATTTTGTGTACATCTTGTGTACACCAAGCATGACTCATCTTTAAATAACAGACTATTTTGGTTGAACATTTTTAGGGGTTATAGTGATAATTTCAGTTTATATCTGCTGTTGAAAGTAGTTCTTTTACTGTGAAGTCACAATAATTGCTACTTAAGGTTGATAACAGTTTTAGAGATGCATTTTTAGTTTCTTGCCGTAAGAAAAGGGCTGCAAAAACTTAAGTTAATCATCTGAAAAATTTGAGTTAATAAAAGAACTTTAAAAAGCAGAAATCTAAACTGAATTTATACCTATAACCCCTAAAAAAGATTAGCCAAAATAAATTGAAAGGTTACCTAGAAGTGAAGTAGAAAAACATAAAAACCAAAATATAACTTGGCATTTAAGTTAAGTGATCCTCACCTTAAGTTTTGCTACTCTAATAATTGCTAAATTTGTATTTAGAAGTAGAAAAACATAAAAGTCAAAGTGATGGTGTAATGGGAAAGGAATATTGCTTCTCAATGCAATTTTCTTCACTTGAGCATTTTACCAAACATCTCATATGCGTATTAGCTACATAAAACCAGCTAATGCCATAAAATCGAATTGAAGAACTGAAGCAAATTTTATACAGAAAAGGACTTGTAAACTTACCACATTCATATGAAAATTATCCTTTCTCCTTTCCGTTCATGAGGTTGGGCAATTTCCACCAAGCATATTGAAACGATCTAATTTAGGTGTTGTCCTTTCAAATCGCCTAGATGTCTAGCGAGTTTGAAAGTTTGAAGAAGGGGCGGCAATGAAACATGGGAAAGAAGAGTTGAAGGCGACGGAGAAAAGAAGAAGAGAATGAGATGACGAAATAGCACTAACCTTGAGTACTTGTTCTAGACATTCCGGCTTACTGGTGTTGGATTCCACAGCCTAAAAACGGGTCTATTGGAGGCTAAAACCTGGGCACACCAATTCTAGGTCTGCTCTATGGCAATATATGGGTCTGCTATTGTGTGAGGAGGGGAAAACGACGGTGGAAGTAGGAGAATAGAAAGGACTTGAAGATGGGAAAGATTTCTTCTTGTGCTAGAGGTTTGGTCCTCTTCTTGTTCGCCAGCCCAGATGAAGGAATGAGAAACTGGAACAGAGATGGACAGAGGAGGAAGTGAGTGAAGAGTGAAGAGACTGAAATGGGGGAGATGAAAGGAATCGAACGGGCTTGATTCGTTTGAAACTACCGGTGAGGATGTAATTTGTGAGCAGGCGGGATTACCTTTCATGGAACGGTAAAAACGGTTCATTGAACAGTAAAAATTGTATTGTAATTATGTATATATAGATAGATTTCGAGTTTAAAGGAGTAACTTTTATGCAAACTAATGCACTACATCTATACAATGATGTACTTTTTACATGTTGAATTTTAAATTATTTACGAAAATGTCACTGCGTTTTTGCTTTAAAAGATCATTTCATCCATCGATTGTATTAAATAAATGACCCTCATCATTGTTCTTATTTTTTCATCTAATAAGAAGCCCTTTTTATTTGAACCAAACTCTCTATTCGATTTTACATTACCACATTGCGCTTTCGGATTCAAAAACTTCAATTTTTTCATGATGACAAAAACGTTCACCTATTTATGAAAATGTCACCACATTTTTAACTCAATTTGTTACATGATATTGACATTTCTAGAGACATTAGATATCAAATCCAATGAATCAAAATCATTATCATTTTACGCATTACGACTTCTTTTTATTTGATTCAATATATACACACATATAGCCAAATAATCTTATATTACCTATATATTAAGAATGTATTAAAGCTAATCCCTTTAATTTGTTCTATTTTTTCTCATCTATATCGGAACAAGGACGATTTGAAACAGTTCGAAAATCTCTAATAAAAAACAACCAAACAAATTAAAGTCTTCATTTTTAAATAAAGTATATTGGCTACTATTTTTACAGTATGTATGCACTAAAACATTTAAAGCCAATAAATATTCATAGTTAGCTATCTGTTTTTAAAAAATGAAAGATATAAATTTAAAATAAATTGAGCAAAAAAACGCATGAATCCTACAAAAATAAAATTTAAAAGAAAGAAAACAATAAAATGATCTCTTGAAAATATTATAGGGGTGGGCATAACGGTTTGGTTTGACCGAACCGAACCGTACCAAACCGAATTAAACCAAACCGAAACCGAACCATTTGTAATTTGGTTTGAGTTTGGTAGTATTCCTCCCAACCCGTATTAAACCGAACCAAATCGAACCGAAATCATAAAACCGAATAAAACTGAATAAAACCGAACTAATCTAAAAATGAAATGATTTCTTATTTTTTTAAAATAACAAATCAAAACCAACTTACACCAAACTAAACCAAACCAAAATATAAGATTTCCTTCATTAATTTGATTGATGTTAATCTTTTTGAAGCTTTAATTCTTTAATTTTAGTGTCCAGAACTAGAGTTTACTACAAGAGTTACATTCACAACTATAACAAATATAGTGGTTTAAGTAGATAGTATTTAACTATAATTTATTATCTACTACTACTATATATTTGGTTCATTACTTACAATCACCAGTTTTGTTTTTGTTTCGGCTTTATATATAATTTGATTTATTCTCGTTGTTATTGTTGCTTACAAATGTGCCATGTTTATATATTTTTGGTTCATATGTGTTTTGTTATTGTTTGCAAATTTATATCTAACATTATATTTGGTTCATTACTATCTCTTATTGGTTCATTATTTTGAGTTAATTTTTTTTTTATTTCAATCCAAACCTTAATACTTTGGTAAACCAAACTCCAAACCGAACCGAACCATACCAAACCGAAACCAAACCGAAACTTAATCGGTTTGTATTTGGTACATTTTCTATTAAACTGAAACCGAACCGAAACCGAAGAAAACCGAACCGAAAACCGAAATGCCCACCCCTAGAAAATAATGTGATCTGGTTGTGATAAATTCGTACACAAACGTATGGAGATAGATAGGAACCTACACTTGTAAATAAAGAGAAAATAATTAAAATACGCTGAACATTGGACATGTGTGATATCCCTACCCCGAACTTGTTTGTGTTAATTAAATACCCCCTCCTTTAACTAATATGAGGAACCAGCACCCTACCTGCTGATGTAAGCATCTAGGTGGAAAAATAATCCACTCTGGCAATGGGTTTAGTGCTACATGGCCAATTTTAAAAATAAAGTCTTCGTGCTGCCTTTGGCGTTGCGTTTCAACCTAACGGAAAAAAAATCAAAGCTTCATGCCAGAGACAAAGCTTCATGCCAGAGACCAAATGGTAAGAACGACGACTAGGGTTTAACTTAAGTTAATCGCTTCTACTGATAGATACGAACGTAAGTTAATCGCTTCTACTTACTCCCAAAGTTTGATTCATAACCTAGGGTTTATATGGAAGTGCGTAATTTCTGTGAAGAAGGCGAAGTGAGTGAAGAGAGTGAGAGCAATGAAAGAGAGGATATTGGGAGTGGGGGTTCATCAAGTGACGAGGAGTGGCTTGGTAGTCGAAAAAAACTTGTTTTGTTCAACTCTGAAGTGTTTGGTGACCTCCAAAGTGATGAGCCCAATGAGCCCTTTTATGACAGTGACAATTCAGAAAACTATTTGCTAACACCAAATGAAAGTGAGGAAGAAGGTGATAGTGGTGCAAAGAAGGTGAAGGTTGTATACAAAGTACATGGCGATGTTACACTCAAGTTGCTAAACTGGACAGTATGTATGAAATTTGCTTCTCCTGAAATATTCAAGAAAGAAGTGGTCAGATATGTCGTGGTTGCAGGGTATAGCATTAGGTTATGTAAGAGTGAAAAGGAAAAGGTTGCAGCAAAGTGTAAAGAGGGTTGTGGTTGGAGGATATATGCTTCTTGGGATGGACCGAAAGAGTCATTTGTGGTGAAGTTTGTCAATCCTAATCATACATGTAACAGACAAGATTATGAGAATGTACAAGCCAAGCCTAGGTGGTTAGCTGAAGAGTATTTGGAGGAGTACAAAAAAAATCCAAATTGGCCTAGGAAATCACTACAAGAGTCTGTAATGGAGAGATTTGGTGTTCGTCTTCAACGGTTTGCATGCTATACTGTAAAGAAACATGCTCATGAGATGTTACATGGGACGTTAAAAGGACATTATAGTAAACTTGGTTCATATCTGAGAGAGTTGAAGAGAGTTGATCCTCAAGTGACATCTATACTAGTTGTTGATAAGCCTAATCTGCCTAGGGAACCAGAAATCTTTAAGAGGCTTTATGTGAGCTTTCCTGGATTGAGAGATGGTTTTCTAAGTGGATGCAGATTTGTGCTATGTGTAGACGGGTGCTTCTTAAAGACATTTTTAGGTGGAATGTTGTTGTGTGCTGTTGGAAGAGATGGGAACAATCAAATGTACCATGTTGCTTGGGCAGTGGTGGAGGCTGAAAATAATGATTCTTGGAGTTGGTTTTTAGGTGTTCTAAAAACTGATTTGCCTGGCTTTGGTAATGAGAACTCTACCATTTGTTCAGATAAGCAGAAGGGATTGTGTAAAGCTGTTACAGAGCATTTTCCTGCTGCAGAACATAGGAACTGTGCTAGGCATATTTATGCAAATTGGCTGAAGAAACACAAGGGGGAGCAACTTAGGTGTTTGTACTGGAAGGCTGTCAGAGCATATGCTAGAGCTGACTTTGACACTGCACTTGAGGAAATGAAAGTTGTTAGTACCAAAGCTGGTGAAGATTTTATTTCCCAGAATCCAACCACCTTCTGCAGGTCCTACATGAAAACACTGAGTAAAAGTGAGGTCACTGTCAGTAATATGGCTGAGACTTTCAATGGATATATTATTGAAGCAAGATCCAAACCTCTTATTCAAATGCTTGAGGATATAAGATTAAGTGTTATGCAAAGGGTGCATTTGAATAGATCTTCTATGGTAAGTAGGCATGATGAAATCTGTCCAAGAGTAAGGAAATGCTTAGAGGCTGAAAAAGAACAAGCTAGGAAATGTGTTTGTTTTCCTGCTAGTGAGTTTGAGTTTCAAGTCATGCATCGTTTGGACATGTTCAGTGTCAATCTAAATGATAAGACATGTACATGTAGGAAGTGGGATCTAACTGGCATACCATGTGTCCATGTCATATCTTGTTGTAATTGGCTAAGGGTTCCTCCAGAAAACTTTGTGATGGACTGGTTTAAGAAGGTTAAATACCTCCAGAGCTATAGTATGTCAGTCAAACCAATTAATGGTGAGAGGCATTGGGAAAAGGTAGACTATGCTTTAAACCCTCCACCAATAAAGATAAGTGCAGGAAGACCTAAAAAAAATAGAAGAAAGGAGGCACACGAGAGATTTGAAAAGAAAGGTAGCTTAAGCAAACACGGACTGCGAATGACTTGTAGTACATGCAAAGGAAATGACCATAATAAGAGAAAGTGCCCTCAAAAGGGAAACATATCCCACACTGAATCCCAAAACACTCCTGTAAGTTTGTGGTTGTCATTTATTGTTTTAAGTTATAATTGTATGGTCTTTATGTATTAGTTAAAAGTCCAGTGACTAGTTTATAAGATGGTAGTTCATATTTATAAGTTGGTAGTTTATAAACTGTTTTAATGTTTTAGTTATAAGTCCTGTGACTAGTTTATAAGCTGGTAGTTCTTATTTATAAGCTGGTATGTGTAATTGTTTATGTTTACATCTTAGGCAAAAGCAAGAGGAAGACCAAGGAAGGACGGTGGACCGCCAAGAAAAAAAAAACTCAAGCTCTGTGTGCTGATCCTACCCAACCTAAAAGATCAAGAGGAAGGCCACTAAAGAGTGCTTCTTCTACTGCTTCAAGACAAACAATACCCAACGGATGGGGAGTTTACTATGGTGATGATGCAAGAGTTTACCTAAACGTAAGTGGTACACACTTTTAAAGTATTACAACAACTCTATGAGATTAACTAATGCATTGCTCATGCTAATTATTTCAGCCAGGACAAGGGGGTGGTAATGTGATGTCCCAAACATCTTCTGCTCCAACAAATTCTCAACCATCTCAGACATGATGTTGTAGGGTCTGGTGCATCTGAAGTATCTAGCTACAGGCCATTTTGTAAGCTGTATGAAGGCTGTATGAAGGCTGCTATGTCAAAAGTTGGGATTTTTGATGTATGAAGGCTGCTATGTAGTTATGGTCTTTTTTTGTCTAAAGTTAAGGTCCTCTTTGTAAGCTTAATGGACAGGCCATTTTTTGCTTATAATATAGTTATGTGCATGTAAAGCACATTTTTGGCTCATGCTAAAGGCCATGTTTTGCTTTTTGTTTTGCTATGTAAAAACCTTCACAACTATGTAATTCAAATTTGTGAGATATTTCACTTATCTTCTTTGTTATGGTAGCAACATATTTACACTCAGAGTTATGTATTTCTGTTTTGCAAGTCACTAGTGTTTACCCTTGGGTTAATTTATAGGAGCATACTGAAGCTAATACATAGCAGCTCATTCATTTTAATACATAACAGCTCTTGGAGGCTGGTCTTGCTTAAATAGCAGATTATTTAGGCTTGAAATCCCTAATGCTTCTCTTCCTAGCGACGAGCTTCCGCTGAGAGAGATGCTTCTTCGTCCTGAGTAATGGTCGTTCATCTTCTTCTTCACGCTCTCTGCTTCTTTCATGGCATGGCCCTGAAACTAGGGCTTTTTTCTACGATGGAGAGACGACTACAGGGAAGGAGATGAATCGTTATATAAGTATAAGCCAACTTGGAGTTGTATATGCCAGCTAGATATTGCATAAAATCATTTTAAATTCAAAATAAATACTTTTAATTAGGTTAGGGTATTCTTTTTTCATATTAGTTAAAGGAGGGGGTATGTAATTAACACAGGCAAGTTCAGGGTAGGAATATCACACATGACTAAAGTTTAGGATATTTTAATTATTTTCTCCTGTAAATAAATACTCCTTCCCTTCTTTAATACTCGGTACTACGTAATTGTCTTGTATTCCTTTTTGCGATGTTTTTTAATTATTTGGCTTTTTTTTCATTTTTAGTAAGTTTTTTCAATCAAAATACATTTGTACTTCCACTTTTATTACTTGTACTCCTTTTTACTTTTTACATACTACTATCTCTTTCCTACTTTATCATTAAAATTGTGAATATTACAATATTTGTACCACTGACTCATTTAGTTTCTTTTTGAATATTTGATGTGATATTATAAATGTTAATCAACAATAAACTTATTTTTTGTGAGAAGTGAATCTTTTTTCTAGTGATCGAAAAGATGTTAGAAGTTTTAATTTATAATATATATTTCCTCCGTTCCATAAAAGTTGCAACATTGGAATTTCTGCACTATTCACACACCTTACTTTGACTACGATTTTCTAATAATATATATAATAAAAATATTATGTATAAAATATTAATAAATTTGTGTTAATGTAAATTTCCAATATATTAACTTTTTTAATGTTTACTAATACGTAAATAAATATAATTACGGTTAAAGTTGCGCGTTGCAAACGTGAAAGTCAAACTGTTGCAACTTTTATGGAACGGAGGATAGTATTTTTCTATCTTTTATTTTGTTTTATATTTTATTTAAATAATACATAAAAGAAGATGAGATGGACTACTACTTTCATGTTCTAATCCAAAAATATAGAACTTGATCAAATAAAATAATAAACATAAGAAACTGAATCAAATCGAACTAAATGGTACCTAATTAGTTTCAGTTTGGTAAACCGAACTTCAAACCGAACCGAACCGAAACCAAACCGAAACCAAACTGAAATACAAATGGTTTTAGTTTGATACAAATTTTCTCAAGTCGAATAAACCGAAACTAAAGAAAACCAAACCGTAAACCGAATTGCCCAATCCTAGATAACTTTGCGTTATATCGTGCATCGATACGGATACAAAATTGCTCTCAAATCCTCAAAATAGTAGATGATTTACCAGAACTTTGGAATAGGACTATTTTTTATGGGAAAAGAGTCTTTTACCATACTGAGCTGTGGGTATGTGCCTCGTTATATCTCATACGTGTTTTTCCTTTCACTTTCTCCTATGTACCCAGGGGCGCAGTTAGGGGAGGGTTAATCTAAGCCCTGACGCTTTGATTGTCTTGGTATGGATAAAATCCAATTTGATTGTTTTGTTGTTAATCTGTTGGTGCTTTAGGAGTCCACATGTTTCTACAACTATTCAGATTAGAGCACGAAGAAAGATTGTTATCCATCTATGTTGTAGCAACTCCCTTCCTCTAGAGCTACCTTCTGCTAGAAAGAGATTTATGGAAAGATTTTATTTTAATATTATTTTTGCTTTCGTAACACTTATTTTTATAAGTATGGTTGGAATATTTGGATACTTGGTGATATTTTGATGGGCAGTGCTTCATTTTCAATCAATTTAGGCTTAAAATGCTAGTATGGGGTGGCTAACTTTATGTATATTCTTAAAAGTTGTTTAGGGGTTGCCTTTCGTGATTTATCTATAAGATGAAAACTCTCTGTAAGACTGATTCAATCGGCTCAATGTGTAGCCTTGATTCATTAAGATTTTATAATACAATAGGTTTACAAAATAAGGAAAGAATATAAACAAATACAAGGAAAGTATATTCTGTTTTAATACAAAAGATAATTTCTATATTTAAGAGATATTATCGTTTACACCCCCCCTCAAGCGAATTGGCGGTGGGCCAACACGTAGTTTGGAACGAAATGTCTCGAACAGCGGCCGCGGAAGACTTTTAATGAAAATGTCCGCCAGTTGAAGCTTGGTAGGCAAAAAACGAGTATAGAGCTTTCCGGAGGAAACAAGTTCACGAACAAAATGATAGTCAATGTCAATGTGTTTAGCTCGTTTATGAGACACCGGATTCTGACTGAGAAAGATCGCACTTTGATTGTCACATAAGAGAGTAGGTCGATCAGGAGGCAGGATATGAAGTTCTCTGAGAAGATGAGTAACCCAGACAATCTCAGCAGCGTTTGCCATAGCACGATATTCAGATTCACAACTAGAACGTGAGACAGTCGGTTGTTTCTTAGCACTCCATGAGACAAGATTTCCACCAAGAAAAATCGAATAGCCATAGGTGGAGCGTCGAGTCTCAATACAACGAGCCCAGTCAGCATCTGAGTAACCAAGTATGTCAGGAGAGGGAGAATGTGTAAAGGATAGCCCATAAGATATAGTACCTTTAACATAACGAAGGATACGTTTGACAGCATCAAAATGATCAACGGTAGGAGCATGCAAGAATTGACTAACTTGATTAACAGCATATGAGAGATCGGGCCGAGTTATGGTAAGATATTGTAGTGCACCAACAAGAGACCGGTAGGTAGTCTGATCCGAGAAAGGAGTGCCTGAACTTGATAAGTAATCAGTGGTGGATAAAGGTGTTGCAATTGGTTTGGAATCAAGGAAGCCAACACGAACTAATACATCATGAGCATATTTGGCCTGACTTAAGAAGAGACCATCGGAAGTATAAGTAACTTCCAAACCGAGAAAGTAGTTTAGAGCTCCCAAATCTTTGATGGCAAATTCTTTGTTGAGACGAGAGATAAATTGCTTGATTGTGTCAGGAGCATTTCCTGTAAGAATGATATCATCAACATAAACGAGGAGGTACAGGGTGCACGAGCCATGCTGATAAATAAAGAGAGATGTGTCAGCTCTACTACAAATAAAACCCAACCGAACAAGAAAGGTACTAAGTCGCTGAAACCAAGCTCTTGGAGCTTGCTTTAGACCATACAAAGCCCGTTTCAGTTGACAAACATATCCTGGAAAACGAGGATCTATAAAACCAGGGGGCTGCTCCATGAAAACAGTTTCAGAAAGATGTCCATTCAAAAAAGCATTTTTAACATCAAGTTGATGAAGAGGCCACTTATGAAGAACAGCCAAAGAGAGCATGATACAAACTGTTGATGCCTTGACCACCGGACTGAAAGTCAAGTTGTAATCCAAACCTGGAACCTGGGTGAACCCCTGAGCAACTAAGCGAGCCTTTAAATGATCAATGGACCCATCGGAATGGTATTTTGTACGAAAAACCCATTTGGAGCCAACAATATTTGAAGATTTAGGCCGGGGAACAAGAGACCAAGTATCATTGGTTTGCAAGACTCGCATCTCTTCTTTCATGGCAGCAAACCAGTGAGGATCTTTGGCAGCAGTTTTAAAGCCACGTGGTTCTTTTGCAGCAAAGAGTGCAACATGTAAGGGATTTTGTTGTAATGTGGTTAAATCAGCAATATGGCGCGGTTTAAAAATACCTGAGCGAGCCCGAGTTTGCATAGGGTGTGTGGAGACGACAGGAGCAGCAGGGAGATCATCATGGACCGGAGGCGAATCAGCAAGAACATGTGGTGGGCTGGGAGAAGAGCTAGCAGGCGGAGTGGGCTGCGGATCAGGCTGCTCAACGGGCTGATCAGGAGGTGGCTGAACCAGCTGTGGTTGCGCAGGCAATGGGCAGGCATGACCCAAAACTGAGGTCGAGCAAAGTGGGCAGTGAGGCCGGGATTCAGAAATCGGAGAGGCCGAGTGATTTGTTGAAGAGAGTGGAGGAGCCACCGGAACTCGTGTGGAAGGTTCATCGAAACTCGAGAAGACCAAAGAAGCTTGATCAACAGGAGTTGTGCCAGAAGCAAATGAAAAAATAATCTCATCAAATTGAGCATGCCTTGAAGTGTAGATACGTGAGGTTTGAAGATCCAAACACCGGTAACCCTTATATTGGGTATTGTAGCCAATGAAGACACATGAAAGACTACGAGGAGCTAACTTGTGTGGCGAGTAATCACGGAGATATGGAAACACCCGACAGCCAAAAACCCGTAAGTTATTATAATTTGGAATAGATCCAAAAAGAAGCTCATATGGACTTTTGTTGTGAAGTACCTTTGAAGGCAACCGGTTGATAATATAAGTGGCTGAAGAGAAAGCATCAACCCATAGAGATGCAGGAGCATGAGCATTAAAAAGCATTGCAATACTTGTTTCGGTAATATGGCTGTGTTTACGTTAAGCACGCCCATTCTGCTGAGGAGTATAGGTGCATGATACTTGATGATGAGTACCATTAGCTAAAAATAAGTTTCGAACCTTGTGCTGGAGAAACTCAGTGCCTCCATCACTTTGAAAGGTTTTTAGTTTGCATGTAAATTGTGTTTGAACAAAGGTGACAAAAGCTGAAATTACAGTGAACACATCAGCTTTCGATTTGAGTGGATAAAACCATGTAAATCTCGAAAAATCATCAACAAAGATGATATAATAGTGATAGCCATCCGTAGAGTCAACCGAGGCAGGACCCCATAAATCACAATGAACTAGGTCTAAAACATGCAAAGAACGCTTAGGATTTATTTCAAAAGGTAAGTGTTTACTCTTAGAGAGTTGACATGGGGAACATAAAGTAGGACTAGGTAATAACGAAGTAACAAACAAACGATCATGTTTTGCTAAAAAGGAAATAACATCAAAAGAGACGTGTCCTAAGCGTCTATGCCAAACATCAAACGAGGCTTTAGACCGAGAGAGACTTGCGAGGAATGCCCTTGGACCATGCTCTAAAATGTAAAGACTTTGATCAACCCGACCCTGAGCTAGAATGGCCTTGGTAAGACGATGCTGGATAGCAAAAAAAGAATCAGAGAATAAGACATCAACAGGTTGATCAGCAGTTAATTTACTAATGGAGAGCAAGTTTTTTGTGAGATGAGGAACAACAAGGACATCAGAAAGCTTTATATTATTTGAAAGACAGGATTGACCAACGTGTGATATGGGGAGAGTATTACCATTACCAAAAGCAACCTGATCTTTCCCAGCATATGGTTGTGAGCTTTGCAAGTTTGATGGAGTCGGAGTCATGTGTGCAGTGGCACCGGTATCAACATACCAGTCAGGAGAGTTATTGTTGACATGACATTGGGAATGAAAGGCAGTGGCTAAGTTCGCATCAATGGGTGAAGAACGATTTGCAAAAGAGGCCAAATCCGGACATGTAGAGGCATAGTGACCATCCTTGCGACACAATTGGCAATGGGGAGGTCTCCTTCCTCGACCACGACCACCAGAAAAACCACCGCGTGTGTTGTTATTATTGCGACCACGAGTATTGTTGGATGACCCACGACCCGGAGGAGGACCACGGTGGTGATTGGCAGTGAAGGCTGCTTGTGGTACATTCGTGGGATGCATATTTTTAAGGAACAACTCGTGGCTTTCGGCTTGAGCAAGTAAGCCCCGAAAGGAGGGACGGGGAGTATGTGTACGCTGAGCAATGGAGAAAGTCTCGAAAGTGGATCCAAGACCACATAAAAACCAGTGAAACTTATCGTTTTCATCAACAGGATGTCCAATAGCAGCCAGTTTGTCACAGATATGTTTAAACTGGCGACCATAATCAGAGACAGACAGATTACCTTTTTGAAGGTGACGTAAGGAGTCACGAAGAGACTGCATTCTCTCGACAGAATCGTGGCTATAGGCACTCTGGAGGGCTTGCCAAACTTCATGCGAGGTCTTGAGACCTAGAACCTCGGACATTGCTTCTTCAGAAAGGGATGAATGAAGAAGGATTAATGCCCGCTGATCGTTGTCTTGCCAAGAGGAGAATTCAGGGTTAGGGACTGTCTTTGCGTCAACCTGAACCGTGGCTGGGGGTGGCACAGTGGTGCCATCAATGTGCCCTGCGAGCTTTTGAAAGGATAAAAGAGGGACAATCTGATTTTTCCACAGCAGGAAGTTGGATGAGGATAGCTTAATAGTGAGCATGTGCAGAATTGTCGAGAGAGATAGGGAGGAGTCGTTGCTGGCCATGGCGATCAGAAAGTTTTCGAGAGAGAGGGTAGGGGTTTCAGAGGATCAGAAAGTTAGGCTGATACCATGTAAGACTGATTCAATCGGCTCAATGTGTAGCCTTGATTCATTAAGATTTTATAATACAATAGGTTTACAAAATAAGGAAAGAATATAAACAAATACAAGGAAAGTATATTCTGTTTTAATACAAAAGATAATTTCTATATTTAAGAGATATTATCGTTTACACTCTCCTAGTTATTTTTCAATTCCCCTACCATTCCATCGATTCCAGGAATGAGCTTGATGACATGATATCTAGATTACATTCTTTGAAACATATAATACTTCCCTTCTTAAATTATTGGAATATATTGAATTTTACACTATTCACACGATTCACTACTTTTTATTTATTAATGTATTACAAATTTAGTTCTTCAAAAATATTGTTAAATTAATCTCATTTTATATTTTCAAAATCTAATGCTTTCAAGTTCTTGTCTAATAGGTATTTAAATATAGTAGTTGTCAAAATTTTATATCGTCAAATTTATTAATGAAATTGTTACAACTGAAAAACAACGCATAATGTATTCTCATGGAAATTTCAGACATTTGAAACAAAAAGAGTTCAAGATATCATCAACCCAAGTAACATGGATAGTGTTACTCAACAATGATAAAAGTTGGATATATACGTAGTATCTTTTTTCCAACACATATGATTAAGAATATATATATATATATATATATATATATATATATATATATATATATAAACACCTTCAATGCCTTACAAAAGATTTTTTGTTTTGCCAGAAATGTCGAGAATAAATAAACGTTACATTCCAGAATCTTGTTCAATTGGTTTGAACTCATTCAATTAACATGAACTCTACTGGGATATTGAATCTTGGCCTATTATTATTTTGGAGGCCCAATACACTAGCCTGTATAGAGCCCGATAAGTTAGGCTCATTTCGGCCCATCGGGTAAAATTATACCCCTCCCTTTTTTCCAGCTTATAAATAGGAGATTTTCCACCAATGTTTAGGTATTCTCCCTACTTGGAATCCCAAACATTGGTGGAAGAAGAAGAAGAACCGATTAATAAAAAGAGAGTGACTTAGACATCAGCCTAAATAATCCTATGATTTTCTCTGAGTTTCCACGTAAAATCAAAAGCTAATATTATTATTGTTCTTGAGTTTGGATGTTACAGATTTATTTATTTATTTTCATAAATCTGATGTTGGATTAATCTCAACAAACCCAACAATAAAATTTGTCTAAGTGCATTAGTTCGAATCCACCTAGAGATTGATCAGGTCGTTAACTTCAGGACGGATTATTCATACCAAAAATAGTTGAGGATACACCATCATAAAAAAACGAGGAAACATCTTGCTATGTAGGGAGGTATGATGTGCTCACCAAAAAGTATCAGAACACTGGCCGAGACATTTTCCTGGTCAATCGTTTAATTCTGATTCTTCTAATTTTAATATAAAATTTTAAAATACCTTATTACTCCTTTATGTTAGGAATGCCTTCAAATTTTATTTTCAAGATTAATAAAAGTTGATAAATGTTCTTCAAGATTTACCCAAGATTTTGATCATTTGCTTACTTACTGAGTTTAAAAAATTCACTTCAACCTAGCTGTTGGATACTAGCAAAAGAGTAACATTCGATAAGCTGATATATCATGCACAAATTTGAGTATGCCCCAAGCACAACCATACCGTGCGAAACAATAAAGGACAAAGAGTAAAGTAATGCACAAGATAAAGCAAGACACAAAAATATCCATTCTCAAAATTAAACATTTTTTTAAAAAAATCAAACCATGATTTATGTCATTATGACCTTGAAGAGATTTACCCACTGCAGAAATCCACCAGAGATGAAATATAGGAGTATCACATAAATATCTAACATACTTGCAATTCTTCCCGGTTAGCACAATAATGATTCCCAGCATTGCCATCACAATGTTATGATGTATATCCATATCTGACTGTCTTTCATAGGGGTTGAATCTATGTTGATGATGTATTAATATGATGTCAAGAAAAAAGAACCGTCTATCATGGCGAAAGATTGGTTCCAAAACCTACTGAACGTGGAATCATCAATATGTGAATATGGTTCAATCTTGAATGCCATCATTTGGAAAGAACGCTTTGTTTTTCATATGGCGTGGGAGTTTATCATATAAAAGAAACCATATCCACTGAGAAATGCTTCTCACCTTAATCAGTACTGTCATAAATTAGTAAGGAAGAAAATATGCACACTATTAACTCAGTTGTTTTCAATTGCAGAGGTCACAACGCGCACTTGAGAGGGCTGCTCAGGCTCGCCATTGCGCTTCCAGAAAGCCCTTTTCCACCAAATCTGAAAACCTCTCTGAATGTTTGGGCAGTCATCCCCAGAGTTCAAAAATCTATTAAACCATATCATAAATATTTCCTGCTGCCGAGCCATGGGCAGAGTTAAAATCGTACTGCTGAGTCCGTCTTCAATTAAATGACGATCAAGACCTCTGGACCCCCTCCTCATCCATCCAAAATCCTCAAAGAACGGAACTAACCATGTGTTTAGCAGTAAGCATCTGGTATCTCTGGAAGCTAACAGTTGACCTTTCCCAATACCAATTAAAAGCCTTGCAGTCACTCTGCTAATCTCATGTCTGTGAACAGCAGGAACTTTATGATGTGCCTCAGATAAGTCAGACTGAGAAGCCCAAGTCTTTAAAAAGTCAACGGCAATATGTCTATCTATCAAAATATCCAAAACCCAATGCAGATTATCAGCTTGCCGAGATAACTGACTGACATCTTGCAAGTCACCCTTTGCTGCCTTCAAAAAGTGACTGCGGAGTAATTGCAAACATGCATCACAGGCTGAATACAGAGATTCCTTCTTTAAGTCGCTTTGTGATGAGCTTTCATGTAACATTTTGGAAACTAAGCTTTTCATCTCTCGCCTTGCCTTCTCATCCTTTCCTTCAAGAACTACATGCAACAGCTTAAGAAGAACCTCCTCGTTGCCTGATCCTTCCTGTGTCCCAGCCATAGTGTCAAAAGAAACTCTTTTTAAAACCTCACCAGCCCCAACTCCTTCAAGGCGAAGCTCAGACAACAGAGAAGACACCTTTTCTTCCTCGTCTTCAGCCCATGGAGCTGCCTCTAAGTACTCCAAACACGATAATACTCCTGCATCAAAACCAATTGCTGCCGAAACCTACAAAGGATACCATTATTATTAGGACAAATCTCAAAATATCTTTTACTAGAACCCTTTTGTGAAATCACCTTCATTAGCACCTTAGACCCAACTAGTTGGGGTCAGTGCCATTAAATTTAGTGTCAGTTAATTTTATAAATTTAAATAACACTAAATTTATGCAAATAAAGAATATTGCATTTATATGTTGAACTTCCATTGGTTTCGCAAACTTATAACTTTATAAGAAGGAAAACTGAGATGAAAATTCTAAATCCTTCAGCATTATATAATTAAAAAGTGGAGCTAAAAAATATTGATTTTAGATACAGAGGAACATTTTTAAAGCAAGACACAAGACATGTATGTGCTAATGTGCTTAAAGAACATCTTGTGTGTCATGCACAAAAGCTTTAGCATAATTGCTCTTGCTGCGCATAATCAATCATCACTATCATAGCCAAGAACGCTACCCCCTCCCCCTGACCATCTACAGGATGCCACACACCATAACATGAATACAATGCAACCACAAATCGATAAATAACATTGGTTTCAGATACAGGCAAACACTATTTAAACATAAAGCAGGACATCTATGCTTAGGGAGCGCCATGAATGAGGAAGGTAAAGGTTTCTAGCTTATCAAATGTTCTTAAATAATCATCAACTATATCCATTGGACCCTACATAGATTCCTATTTGATCACATATAGAATGTCATAGTCAAAACAGGTTTTGATTCCTACATTCCATAAATTATTTCAGCCATGGATACCTGTCAGGACAAATCCTGCTTGTTGAAAATTAAATACTCAAAGGGTATAAATTTGTATAAATGCTTTCGGCAAAAAAAAAACTTACCTTTAAGATTCCAAGGACTCTGGGAACATCTTCTTTCATGAGTTTCTTCCTCAAATCCTTGCAATACATTAGCCTCAATGTTTCAATATAAATCTCAATGTCATCACAATCAGCAATCTCCACAATATATGTAGCTGATGAAGTCTTCTGCTGCTTAGCCCATTTCTCAGACAGCTTCACCGCAAAAAAACGGCTGTTGGCAAGCAGGATCTGCCTATGAACGTTCATCGAAACGCTCAAGCCATCCTTTGAGCTCAACGTAAGCCTCACGTCACTGGAGGCCAAGTCATTGAACTGGTTTCCAGGACTCCTACAGGCCAAAAGATCCAAAAGCCTCTGTTGCATCAAACCCTGTTTGTCTAGTGCTGGCACCGAATTGGGCTTATGGTTCGGGGTAGAAATGACGCCGTATTGAATCTGGGGAGCGGTCGATGGCGTCGCTCTGGGGAGGCAATCCGGCTCGCTTGCCATCATCTCAAAAAGCGTCGGGCTCGGCCGGTTCTTCTCCACCGATGGAGGAGGCGACATGGGATTAAGAAGTCCCGCAGTGAGAGCAGAGTTAAATTTGCTGAGAGACGAAGGGAAAGCGTCGTAGCCGGCAGGTGAGCTGGGAGTAGCGCCGCCATAGGTGACGGAAGAAGCGGCGGATGGGGAATCCATGAAGTGAGGCAATGTGCTCGGGGAGTACGGGATCTTAGGACTCGGCGACGATGAGGAATCTTCAGGGGAGACAACCGTGGGAGTGTCGATTGAGAGATTTTGACTTAGCTGAATGGTGTCGGCCTGATTGTGAGCCGAAGAAGAAGGCGTGGCGGGATGGGAATCGGCGGCGGGGGAAGTGGCGGTAATTGTGGTTTCACGGTAACGGCGTCGTTTGGGTTTGATGGTTTGGGTTTGGAAATTGAGATGAGTAGCAGTGGCAGCCATTCAAGAGTGAGTGGGAGTATATTAAAAAATTGGGAGAGAATGCTTCGAATTTTGGGATGTGTGGTGTCCGTTAGG